ACGATGACTGCTTTTAGCCTTCAGTTGACAGAGTCATGTGCAGACGTATCACAGGCACGCGTGAAAGTGTAGCATTCAAATCGGTTGTTTACAGATTACCTGACGAACATGTGGGTGCGTTGAAAATGGTAATTCCAACCTAATGATCGGCCAGATATCCGTGGTGAGCGGTTATCAAACTCACCTTCGGTTAAAAATATGCCTTCAAGATATTTTGTCCCATCGCCATTCAGCAACGTTGCTGCCCTAGGGTCGACGAACAGACTTCCCAATAAAATCTCTAATACGGACAACCAAGTGGCCAACCCGAACAAAGAAATAATTGTGGGAGATATTCGCTGAGACCACAAGAAATTCCATTTTGGGTTAAACTGCAAAACCTCAGTAACCACAAGGCTAGTTCCTCTTGGACCATCTGTTGTAGTCCCGTCAAGAAATAACATGGACATATAATCTACCGTTGAAAATGCACGACGGTCCCCAAGTACATATTGTTTAAAATTTCTTGGTAATCTACTCTTATCCTAAATGTCAAAAGTCATTCGTGTTTTTGTAATGTTTGGTGGCTCATTGGATACATTTATTGGTCAGGTGACTGGAACGCCTAACGGGGCCCCGATTTTCTCAATAAGTGCTCATTGCTACAAGGCAGTTTTATAATATTCACCTAGGCTGAAGTAGGAAGTATTCAAGACCAGTCGACTCATATTCACTTTCTCCGCTTTCTTTTAGAGCAATAAGCTTTGGAAGTCTGATTGACCAAATTTTCCGTGGTTAAGTGTGAAATGTTTGGTTAGCTACCGTTTTGTCGAGAGTTGAATGATTAGTTTTGACAGAAAGCATTTGACGATAGCAAACACATACCAATAACGATTCTTTCCCAAAAAGAACAAAAAATCAATCCCAAGTTTAAGCTACGGTGTTCAACCTGTTTGAAAATGTGAATTTTGAGACGAAAATTTGGAGAGGTCGACCTTTGATTAGTCAATGAAATTAACTACATGTCATTTTAAATCTGAACGAAATTTTCGTCCATGTGGTTATCAGTATTCACTCGTTCTTTGGGCGCTGTCTCCGCCTTTCAGGTCCGTCTTCTGAATAAGTGTATTGTATGTCTTTGCGTCATACTGCACACGTAAAAATTGGACTGTGTTGTATGCGCCTTCATTTGGCTGATCTTGAAAGCCTTTATCCGTTGGGTTGGCTCAATGCACGCCGGGACAGACGAGTCCTTGTTCGGCTCCTGTTTCGACGAGGAAGGTTTCCCGTACCCTTGTCTGTACTAAAACGTTATCAGTTTGTGCCGTTCACTTGTGGTTCTCCGAAAGACCGTACTGTATTCAGGAATTGTACTCTAGCCGGTTTTGGAATAGCCTCTATACTTCTTTCAGGACTTCCATTTTTTTGAGCAAATGCCGCTACAGCCACAAGGTCAGGATGATTCACTGACCTTGTACACACTTGTTTTCAGTTTAGTGACCGAAAGACCGGCCCATATGTGATACATGCGGATCAAATATGCCAAAAACACTCATTCATTTGGACGACCAATGTCCATGCCCTCCAGTCTTTTTGCTCATCGCGGAGCAACATCATAAATTCGGGCATAAGAATGCAATAGTGTTGGTTCGCTTTCCTTATCCTATTGCTTCCATACATACTCCTAAATCGAAAAGCTGATGCCTGGTATATAAATAAAGATTTCTGGAACATTATTGCATCCCCAACTTTGGTAAAGTCAGGAGTGCACTAATTTATTATCAACAGTCAGGAAAGAGCTGATTTCAATATTATTTTCTTCTTCTAATCACTGGTATGCAGGAGCACTTGGATGAAGAAATAAAAACCACGTGATCGGTGGAGTATTCAGTGCCAACTTGTGGATGTCAGAGGGCTAACAGATTGAATTCATTCGACCATTTTATGATCATTGAGAGATAATATTGTTCAGTTTTGTGTAAACTTTAGATGTTACCGCACAAATATACCACAGAAAAAAACACCAGACATCGAGTTGTAATCAGCTGAAAAACAGATTGAGTAGTCATTGTTTTCGGAAAAGTTTTTTAACAATGGGTAAATTTATTACACGGCTACATCAGGCCAAGTGAATAGGTTTCGAGGTTGGTTGAGACTTCACCTAAGACAGGCTAAATATTTGTTGGGCGTCGGTCAAGGGATTTCGTGTTATGGTGGGTCACCAAGCGTTAAGTTGATGTAGATTTTGGTTTAGATTTTGGCCCAGCTTGGGGTCTAGTGCTTCTGGTTCACGTGATGATCCCTCTTGAACATTGCACTTTTCGTCTGTCTGTGTAAATGAACTAGTGCTACGATGGTTGTGTAAAGAAAGAGGGATTCTGTGACCTTTGGTAGAGTTGGGATTTCTACCCCCTTTGTTTGCTAATGATTTTACGTGCATTGGCAACCAAACAGTCACGTATCAACTCGGTTTATCTGAGACCACTCTTTACACGCTCGCTAGTTTAAAAAAAGCTTCTTTCAGCGCAAGCTGAGAAACTATGGATACAATTGGTCACGGTCCTAAAATCCCATCAGCCAAGAGCTCCGAATATTACACTGTCAGAGCGGAGTGCGTTGGGGACCCTGACACATATAGATAGCGTTGTCATTACGAAGGCCGATAAGGGTGAAGCAGCAGTGGTGAGCAAGAGCGACTATCTTCAAAAGGTAAGGCAACACCTCATTGATGAACCCTATCGACGAATTACCGGTAGCAGTATTACTTCAATAATGAATAAGAGTAAGGGTGCAGTTGGTAGATATTTAAGATCTATAGTGAACCATTTAGGGCAAGATAAGTGGTACCGAAAAGTGCGATTCAAACACTACTCTACGGACTGCCAAAAATCCACAAGGCAGGTGTCCCGATAAGGCCAATAGTGGATGGAACAGGCTCTCCACCATGTGGGATAGCCAGATTCTTGGCTAGTATGCTAAAAACTCACGAGGAAATCGAACACCTTAATTAGGAATTTGTACGTCTTTGCTACTAAGGTTACGGGGTTTCCTTGGGAGATGGACGAAGTCCTCGTGAGTTTTGACGTAATCTCAATGTGCACAAACATCCCTAGGGCAGATGCTCTGGAGGTAACTAACGGTTTGTTACTGGCACGCACAACACTCGGGGGACGGACATAGCTCTCGGTGGATGATTTAGTTGAGGGCATAAGTGTGTTTGAATCTTGGTCAGTTTGTCTTTGACACAATGGTTTACTCATAAGAACAAGGCCTTGCAATGGGATCTCCAGTATCCCGTTTTTTGGTAATTTATTAGTGGCTGTCGATCTGTCGCCGAGCGTGGCAATTGATATGCAAACGTTTCGTCGCCATTCAAGGAAATATCTTCAGTGCGCTGTTGGGTGGGTTTTAGCGCTCTTCGATAAGCCGAGTTGACACGTGACTGTTTGGTTGCCAATGCACGTAAAATCCAACTCGACCAAAGGTCACAGAATCCCTCTTCCTTACACAAGCATCGTAGCACTAGCTCATTCACACAGACAGACGAAAAGTGCAAACAATGTTCAAGAGGGATCATCACGTGAAACAGAATCACCAGACCCTAAGCTGGACCAAAATCTAATCCGAAACCCCCATCAACTTAACGCTTGTTGACCCACCCTCACACAAAATCCCTTAACTAACTCCCAACACAGATTTAACTTGCCTTAGGTGAAGTCTCAACCAACCTCGTAACACATTCACTTGGCCCGAGGAAACTTTTGGGTCAAAAGTGAAACGTAGCCTAGCAATAAATATACCGATTGTTACCAATCCTCTCCGAGAAAATCGAATTTTACTGAACAAAAAAGCATATCAGATTTGAACAAGAGGGATTGTTATCGACAGACGACTGGAAATGATGGTTGCTGACAACTTTTCATGAGAAGTAATGTTCGAAAACCTTGTATATATCAATCTACTGTTATCTCCAGTGAAAAAGTGTTAGATTGACCAAACTTCAGAATAAAGTTGTGGTACACTCGAAAATGCAAAAGATAGTTTTATTCACGTAAGCGTTTATTTTTCAGAACTTTTCACTGCAAATTTTTCTCCGAACACACCGAGTGATACACGGTTCAGCCTCTAAGACACCTCACAGAGTTTTATATCTTGCTTATGTTAGCTTGAGTTTTCTGTTTTTACAGCTGCAGAGAGAATCTGGGTAGGGGGACGTTTAAACATAGCAGACTTATTTTCACTTCTTTACAGTGTTTTATTACGGTGCTTTTGATCAACTCGAAATGCTCGTATGGATTGAAATCAGGCCTTCAGTTTTTTTGTTCCAAATCTTTCTTTCCGCTGTTGTTAGGTGACCGGGGATTGGTAACTATTCTGAAAGTGTGCATCACGGTTGGTTGATTCCGACAAAGATAAGAGGTTGCAGTTTCACGTTTAAACAACCGAGAAACGGGAAAATAGGAGACCAACTTCAGTAACAGAACAGCTGAAAATAATGCATAGGTACCAATGAACTATGGCCGTCTGCACTAGATTCTACACATTTCTGTAGAATTTACTGAAATTCCAGGTTGGTTAGGTTGTACCCGGAAGAATTGAGAGTGTACTATTGGATTCACGGAGCTGCGAATTCAGTCAACAACGTTTTGCATTTAGACCAGCATAGTTCGTTGGTATCATTCTAAAACATTCTTTCGACCCAATCAGGCCATTTGGATAGAATGTTAAAGAAACTAAGGCGAAGATTCTCTGTGTACGCGCTCATGAAAATGGACCAATTGATGGTTTCCTTACTGAGTGCATCGAATATATTTTAGCTAGGTTTTTCTAGCTGTTAGCTTCCTAACCTCTTGAAATTTTATGTCGCTTAACAGCGTGCAAATTATTTCGCGCTTTCAAGCTAACTGAATGGTATCACTGGCAGAAAATTTTTAACAACTACAACTATTGTGGTACTCTGATCGACGAAATTCAGCAACCTTGAAAAACACCTTTGAATAATCAGAAACCAGATGCATACCTGAAGCTGTGACTTCGATACCCAACTTTGAACGGGAAAGTCCATCAGCATGGGTACAAGGAATTGTAGGCAGGCATTCCAGTGCCCTAGGAGCAGCATGATCAACACGAGGTTGCATATACCCATGAATTTGTTCGCGATATTCACAACCTTGAAATAAAAAAGAATGGGCGAATACGTGAATATTATTGTGATTGTGGCAAGAAGCCCAAGAGGAACTGGCTTTTATCTGATCTCGCATTTCATTCAAGTGCACGTATCGTTTTATCAAATGCAGAAAAGCAAGAAGGATCGTGTGCACGGAAAGCTCCAAGCAATATTAATTGCCCTATCTACTGAATGGAGCGTGTAGAACCTGAGGGTCAAAGCTCTCTGGTTCAAATCGTGGATGAGGTCACCAGTACTTGCAGGAGCCATTTTGAGAGTGTAGTGGAAGTTCGAGGACACGTTTTATATGTGTCTTACCAGATACGAACATGAACATCCTAGGTCACCCCGAAGAAACACTTCGGGATAGTAAACATAAATTTAGCTGTTGAATACGCAAAGCTTTCATGGAAGATGTTCCTTTTTCAGTGTGAGCTCTGTACTAATATTTGGTACGGCATAATGTGTTATGATTTTCCTAGTTAGTATTGGATCCAAGGGCTTGAAAATCTGCGTGACTGAACAAATAAGCGTTTAGACTACTATTTTGACAGCCTGAGTTCGAACCTCAGTGACTTCAAATCAAATTGGTTGATGACCCCGTTCTGTTTCCGAATTGAAAAAGTGAAATGAGTTTTTTGAAAACTTCAATATTGTCATTTGAAAGGCTACGTGAATGCTTTTTACTGATTACACCATGATAACAATATTGTGGTAGTGAGATCTTACTAAAACTAAGTAATACCCAGCGAGTACTTTGACCATCATTGTTTCATCTACTTAAAAAATTTTCTAGTGCAGGACCAGCGATCAGTGCTTGACGTCGTATTCGTTCCTTTTGGATTTCAAACTTGACTAGTTACGATCATGAGAAATTGAAAAATTAAAAAAGACAATCAATGCCAGTGGTGAGTAAAATGAGTGAAAACAGGATTTGTAGTTTAATCAAGCTTATTGGAATATAAAATTCACTTGAAATGCATGATACTGACAACACAAACAAAAGTATTAGACGGTTGTAAGCCACCCAACTGCCCAGGAAAGGATAGAAATTATGGCTTTGGTTGATCTAATGAATTGCTAGGTGAATCAAGGGATTGTACAAGATAAGCAGGATCCCAAATTTCTTGCCAGTATGTTGCGAAATCAGCATATGAACATGAAGTTCGACTGTCAAAACCAATAACAGGTCTCACCTCTTCCCACTGTGTAATGTAACGGACAAGGCGGGAAAGCCGAAGTAATCGTAGTAAACTGAGCAACTTGGCAAGGCGTAAGATCCGTAGTGCTCGTCCTGCGTAATGAAAGATATAACTGAAATAAACTCTGGGTTATTGGTAAGTTTTCTGGTTCTAGATAAGAATTTTCAAAAAGAATCTCTCGGCTTTTATCACTGGCGGTTAACGGTTGTGAATCAAACAGGACGAACACAAACCCTCAAGGCTTGGAAAGCAAAACGTTATAATTACTTTCATGAAACTCAGACCTGATGGTTGAGTAGGATGAGTCACATGACCATTCGGCTGGTAATCAATGGTATTTGGTATAAGAAGTATGCGATCTTCGAGCGACTGTATGTAGGACACACCTTTGCTGTGGACACATGGTTGGGATTTCGGGCCCACTGTTCCGTAATGGTAAGTTTCTCTGTGAGGATAGATAGCTCGTTGGCCAACTAAATGGTCTAAATGTTCCAATCGGCTCAGCAACAGGTTAGAATTACAATACACAAATGACAATATTTTACAATCATTTTACTGGCTACCTTAGATGGGCTGGCAGACGGGTGTTTCTGAGGCTCCAATTTAACAATTCCCAGGCGAACGATTATGTAGCCGGTCTCAGACACACAATTCAAGCGCTTCATGGGGAACGAAAGATCCATTATAAGATCGAGATTGTATCCCATATTGATCGTGAGCTCTCCTACTATCCTGGACTACCAGCACCCCCGGCGATAATACCCCATGCACCAAGATGAATGATTCAACTGGTAATCAGCTTTCCCCAAAACAATCATGTGATATTGGCGCAGCAAGAATAAGAGGAACAGCCTAGTGTGCCATTATTTCTGTGTAAAAAAGATTGCCTGAATGCATATCACAGACATTGCGATTTAGGCACTTGTAGCGATGACAATGCAGAAGTCTTCGGGCAGTAAATTACAGGGGTGGTAAGTATGCCTGACACAAATTTTATTGTCAGTTATACTTTGAAGAGTAGAATCTCAAGAAGTTAGTTTGCACGCATAGTTTTGCGAAGTCTTACTACTTTGGTCTGAAATGGTCGTCACAGAATAGGTGTATCGGTGTAATATGCGCCTGAATGACTATATTATAAACTTTCGATAAAGTGATATGCATTAAGAAATTTGTTTACAAAAATGTACGTGAATCACGTAAAGTTTTTCACCATTTACACATACTGTATAATATCCAATGTTGAATTATTTTCAGGTGGTTGTTTCGGCTACCGGCGGTGTTCGCGTCCTTGACGAGCGTCGAAAATTTAGGCATACTCCGGTAAGTGATCAACGTTTAGTCATCTCAGTGTGCCCAATGGTGGGAAATAGTTCATAGTCTGTATCCCGTTGAAGTAACTCTAAAATATTTTAGTTAAATCTTGTCCGGTAAGGGATGACGAGGGATGCGGACTTACATCTGGTGAGCTAAGTGTAACTGTTCAGCTACGGTAGCCTTGGTCCGGCAAAACTTCCTATCAACAATTTTGAGAACGTCAGGCCAGATTTATTGGCCGTGAGGGCTTGACCTCATGAGTAGCAGGCTGTGAAGTTTCCGAACTGGCTCGTCAGTCAAAATTAACTGCGCGACTAAAGTCAGGTTGTCCTTACTGAGGAATCCAAACGCATCACTGACAAAACACATGGCAAACTAATCCATGGATGGAAGCCACCAACCGAAAACAAAGAATCAGTCACCACAAAGAACCCATGACAAAATCTGACGATGCGGCACGCAGTCAGCTGAAAGCTAACACCAGCTATTTTACAGTCGGCCAGCGTTTCACTTTAATTTAGTATACTGTACAGCAATTCTGCGGTACCTAAGATATAGAAAAAACGCTCAAATACTTCGACACAATGATGATCTTAATTATAGAGTAAAGTGTAGGCTTGTCGTTTGGAAAAAATGTGCAAACCTACATACGCATTTATCTGAAATGCTAAAATAAAAATTTCGGTTCGTGTGGATTCTCAAAACGAAATTATTATTATATGAAAGTCCATCTGTGATCATGCAATACCGAATGGAAGGATCAGATTTTGTTTCTTCTCTTATTTTCGAAATACTTTGTGGTGGATTCTTATCGGAAGACCTAAAAAATGATTATTTCATGTTAAGTGATGCAAATTCAGGTGAAAAGAAACACGCACCCGCCTGAACTAGTTGTTCTGAACCTTCAACTTCACTTGATCGGAATGCAAGTAGCACATAGTCGATTGGAAGCGAACTGAGAAGGTCGACTACAAACCAAGTTCGAACGTATTCCCGCGCAATTTCCTCTGGATCCAAGATGATATCATCCACAAAGTCATTTCTGATGATACCTTTCGGGTGCAATGAAAAATTTTAGAACATATACCGGAAATATTGAAACACCTCTTGTGAGACCATCTACGAGTCACTAATCAACTCGTCAAAGCTAGGCATTTGTAATGCAATGATCAAGTACACTCATATCACAGGATGTCATTATTGTTTTTAATTCATTCAGCTTGGAAATGAAACATTCAGGATAAACATAGGTTAGCCACAATGCTAGGCGAGCCGACGATTGTAATGAGGAATCTTGGTCTTGTGAGCAGATCCATGGGGCCAGCTTATTCGCCCCTTGCACAGATTGGTTGAGCTTGAAGTGTAAGGGCTTGCTGCGGAACAGTTTTTCCGTTTCGATTTCACAACGACACGCGAAGTTCATCATTTAGAACTCTGCAGTGGTATGTACGCAGGTCACAATTTCAGTCAGGTTTACTAATGCTGCATTAACGCTGCCAAATATATTGATCCAGGTCTAATAACAGTCTCCATCTGACCTACAAGTTTGTATGTGACTCGGCCGCTACAAGTAAGCTGATGAATTATTCAAGCGGCAGATAAATCCGGCGAATTTCTCCCGCACCAAAGGAATTTTTCATTGAGTCACCTGGAACTATCGCTTTTGTGAGCAATGCGGTGCATTGGTATTTATTCAAATCTGCTGACTGATCACCTCAAAGATGCAGGATTAGATACAAGATTTTCTTCTCAGGTTATGTGCTGATACCTTTTGCGGAGTAGGAATTTTGATGAAGAGTTGTAGATTGCAATTCAAGTGTTTAGTCACTTTCAAGGACTCTTCCCTTTTTGCTTTATCTAGGCTAAAAATATTTCTAGTTATTTCGAGCAGAGATTTGACCGGGCGAGTTTTGCAAGCCTTTCTTGTTATGTTAGTGACAATAAATTAACAGACGTCTGGTGCGCATCAGACAGTAACAGAAATACATTTTTCAAGATGGCAGAATCACACTGAGATCGACACTGTCGCGGCGACTCCACACATTTATAAGCACACTTGCCTCAAGTATAAAAGTTTGGTTATACAGGACCAAACCTATGAATATTATGTGATTTTAACATCCTATTATCAGGAAATCATGTGAAAAATCCCCGATCAAGGTCAGTTAAGCTTTCTGCACACAAGATATATTTCACCAGCGTCATAAATAGAAATCTTTTACTAAAAATGATAGTTTTGGACCGCCAAATCAAAACCGCTTCTCAAATAAAAAAGCGGCATTCTCCCGCAGAAACAAAAACCACTTTGAATGTACGAAACCCTTATTTCTCTGCAGTGTTTTGGAGGAATACGCACACTTGCCACAAAGTTGCTACGAGTATTTCAGCGCATAGCTGCATGAGTTGGTTGCACGCAGCTACGAGTTATCGTTCAGTGATGTTGGAATTTGGGGACCAGTATATTTCGAACGAATAATTGCGCATCACGTTTAAAGTCAGGCTTGACACGAAATAATAAAGCGGATAACTTCTAGTAATAAAACGACGGACGTGCTGCAGTCGATTCGGCTTGGTTATCGGAAGGTTCTGGGCATAATTTGTAATGTGCATGAGATCAACTACACCTCCAAGCTCTGTTCAAGAAAGTTGTTCTTGTCTTTGTGTAAGCGGTTGAGGTGGTAAGAAAGGTTTTCAAGCATGTTTACACACAATATGTACATTCCTACTTTTTTATTAACCATGGAACAGCGTAAGAAGGGCCACTATGATACTTCAAAGACCTACAAGCAAAACTGTGTGACCACGGGCGCAAAGTCGCCCTTGTCGTTTGACATTTATCACCTGCAGCTGAAAAAACACTATGATAAGAACCAGGCATGAACAGTGCGCCACGTTGAATGATTCCACTCATGATGAAGAACCGCACCGGCTTGACAGAGTGAATCACTGTCTGTCATTCCCAGTAGATTTAGACCTACATACACTGGTTGTACTATGCAGTCCACCCCATATGTGCGTTCGTCGTGATTGTGCTTGAAAAAGTCTTAGAAACCGAATCCCCAGTGTACTTTTTTCCTCTCTATCAAATACCCAGCCATTACACTGGCTCAGAATCCATCAGTGTATTCTTTAGTCAGAATCTTGCCTGTGTCACATTTCAACAATAAGATATGATGATACATTGGTTCTGTCAGTTGTACTCCGTGGACGCCCATAGTCAACCTGCATCTGATGTAACAAGAAAAATAGACTTTATTCCACGCTAAGGAAGGGACGCCACCTGCCCGGTAGCGAGTTATCAATACTCAGTTCCAGAAAATCAATAGTTAGACAGTAACACTTCGTTTCTTCAACACGGTATCACAGAAACCTATTCTTTAAAGGACTAGTTGGTTTTGGTTACTAATACCAGGCTATAGAAATCGACCACTGAGGCTGTACCCAATACCGTAAGACCTAATGACCAATAACTTTCAACGACTGCTAGCATACCAGGTCGCTTCTGAGATTGATTTACTTCTGTGTTGCTCATATACTGATGGACTTTCCATGTTTACCCATAAAAGGATGAAAAAAGTGGATTTGCAACCAAGTAACTCACAATGCGTCTGTTATCTTTCACCGACTGATCGGAATGTGGCAAGGTACATCGGTTGAAAAAGTCCTCATAATAATTAAAAGCGGACATTTTCAAGCGGTGAAAATAAACGTGAGTGCATGCCTTCCGCAAACTGCTGAGTCCGAAATTGTATGGGAAGACAAACCGGTTCTACAGTTAGCTTGGAAGGAACTCGACTTCTTAGCGTCACCTTACATTTGCTTGTCCATAGGCATTATTGTGCGTTGCAGGCAAAACAAAACCTCGCAGCTTCCGTTCAAGTGTTCAAATCGCGTACGCATTTCAAAAGTATGTAGGGCCGTCGAGCGGATGGTTCTCGAACCTTCATTACTGGACGTATCATCACACAGTGTTACAAGCGAAATACCATATTGTATGACTGGATCGGAACCAGCGCCCAAAAAGAAAACTGAGTTCCGTCATACCTTTGTGAAAACACTCATCGAAGCGACGGTTCAAACGGTCCGGCTCGTAGTAACTGGTGACGGCTCTTGCCCTTTTTCACGTTTGATAAAAGGGTAGCCATTTATCGTTTTGCTCATAAATGTTTATCAACAGGTCGAAAAAGAATGACGGCTTCGCTGTCGTTAGGTTCACGAAAGAGGGTGGCATTATTATTAAAAGCTTACCTTTCTCAGTTTTCACAGGTCCATATCACACGCTTCAAACATATTGCAATGCTTCGGAATTTTATATTTATCAGTGGCTTATAGAGCAATCAACTATCACTTTCATTTTTACTCTGTTCGGTTGATTCTTTATCCCAATCCACATGGAAATGTCGGCCTCAAATTAAGCTTTACAAGAATAGACGATTTTTCAAAGCACACCGGCTATGGTAAGACGAATGTGGTCGGTTTGAAAGCCATCAGGATCATAAAAGAAAGTCCTCGGTTCGCCTACTAGGTTGTTTGTAATGTCCAATTATTATTGCAGACATAAGCAAGGAAATAAGCAGGGAAGCTGTGTCTATAAATCATTTTTCGGAACATTATCCCATTCACCTCCTCGTTCGAAAGCACTTAGATATTTGTGCTCGGTAGTTGGTGAATTAGATAGTCAAGTCCGATAAAAATATACTTAGATTTACATAAATGCTATTCTACTTTTATGATACCTTTGAATAATCGGAGACCAGTGGGTTGTAATACTGGAACTTGGACTTGAGAATTCCATTTAAGTACGGTGAACCAAATGTAGGCGTAGTAATATTTGACATTTGTGATTGCATTATTTATACTTACCAGTTCTAAAATTGACAATAATATCCATGAAGAAGATGGCATCGGAAATTCCATTGAATACAATCCATTTGCTGGACATATCGTCATTGAAAAATGAGATAATCACAGGTAGCATTATCAGGTTCGCCACTAGGAGGACAAGCATAACCAGATTCCAGTACAATCTATAGTAAGAAAATGAAGAAAAATTAAAAAAGAGATGGATTAGTCAGGCACTTCCATTGGAAAATATTTCCATCAGTATATTGCATACCAGCACCAAACCAACCGGCTAGCAACCTAGAACCTATTGCAATCCATGATATTTCTTCACCTAGAGTGGCAGCTTTATCAAGAGTTTATTTTCTTTCCTTAGTCTTCAACAGGCAATAGTGCGACCAATGACGCGAGACCAAACGCCAAGAAGTAGAATCTCACATTGCTAGGCCACAAAGGTAAATTGACGAAACAGACCAAATATTGCCACCGAATGATGGTGGCACAGAGTTAAATGTTTCCCTTGAGATGATCAGGAAACCTAAGAAGCATTGTACCACTATTCCATCCTCGTTGGAAGTCCTTAGTAATGCACATCTGACGAAATAGTAAACTCCAGACCAGTAGCTGTATACAAATCTGTTAAACACGTGACCAGCTCCATTTGATGTGGATAACGTGTTTCAGCGACGAGTGGCCCCAAATGTTGTTTAAGTACGACTCAGTCATACTGCTAATCAACTGCTCAAGGCCAAACGATAAAGACGTCAGACTGCTGGCTAGGAGGTGCGTTTTGAGAAGTTCCCTGCCCACAATCGTAAATAGAGACCAAACAGCTATATATTACTGACGTCATTCTTGGACATCGATTGGCTTCACTCCCAGGCAAGAATCTTTATTAAAATTTCAAACTTTCATAACTTTGGTAAAGGCTTTAGCACAAACGTTCTGTGATAATCCACCTTCCGCGTGAGCAGTTTAGTCTTTGGCTGAATTGCGGCCTTCCAGATCAACCATCGGGCTTCAATATCTACTATAACCCGTAATCTTTAAGTGTGTTTCTTAATGAATAGTGAGTTGCTACATTTTGAATTTTACAGGTATCAGTTAGCGTCACATTACCAGCTGCATCATTTCCAGATACTCCGTGACTTCACCGCAGTAAGATGCACAAACGCTACCTTGTCGAGTCAAATGAGTATATCTCACAGGGACATCGTAGATCTGACATTACTCTTTCACCAATACATAGGTTGTGTGATGTGTAATAAAGTGTTTAGTGTTTGGCAAATTACGGATTCAGTCAGAAAACAAAAACCACGTCTCCTAAAAACCATCGTAAAAGGTCAACAGGAAAAAAGCAATCACAATAATCGCTTTGGATCACTTAAAGTGAGCTTCCTGTTAAATACCACCGTCACTTCAGTCCAGAGGCTCCAACGGATCAGTCCAACATATTTTTACTGAATATCTGGATGAATCCTTCTGATAATCGGTTCGAATGAAAAAATGTCTCACTGCTGAAGGCTGTAGCGAGATCTAATAGTTTACTGCTGTGGGTGGCATTGACCTCGGGCGCTAAAAATGGTATGCGATGCAAAAACATACCCACATGTGGTAGTATTTTTGTTGGTGAAACGCCTGACTAAAAAAATAAGTTTAGTAGGATCTTGGCTAAAAAAGAGGCTTGTTTATTTCAGAGTCAATGCGGAAACACATGGGGCTCAGGTAAACGTCTGGTTTCATCCCAATAAGCAGAAGCTTCTTGTGTTCAAAACAAGAAGTACATAAACAAATGTCCACAGAGAAAATTGGGCACCAGGTGATCCAAGTACCACACTGTTTTCATACCGTACATCGGTTAGCTTTTAAACCTAAACTGTGCCTTGTTTGTCCTCTTGGTAACTGGATCAATAATAATTTTGTTTCAGACGCATTCAAGTTGGTATAACCGATAATGTTAAAGCCCTCAGGAGACAATAGCGAGATTAATCCGGTTTTGTTTAACATTCAAGTTTGATTGTGTTGAACGCTAGAAGAACTGCTTTGGCTGTTATTTTCAGTGAATTGACATCCATAACAGGAAGATCACTCTGTACTTCATCTCGGTCTTGTAAATATTTCGCCTGAGCGTCACATAAAAATGCTGTGGCAAATTGAGTGTTTTCTCAAAGCTTATATACTTAATCACCAGCCCTCTATATTGTTTTTCTAACCAAAAATCCCTTGGCGAAGATATTTCACGAATTCATTAACAATTAATTCGGTCATATTTTTGACCCAGTGAGAAACAGCCGGGAAGCAATAAATTTCACTACGTTATATGAACAGTCCTTCAAGGGATTTTTAATTCACCCTTACAAGTTTCAGAGATAAACGTTCACGCCTAAACAAAATATTTTGAATACGTTGAAAGCCCGGTTTTGTAAAGTTTTTGTCAGTGAGTTTCATCGTGGAACAGCAATTTCATTTGTTGGTGTACTTGCCAAGCTTGAGAGTTAGAATACAATCCAACTACCAACTTCAGCGAACACATCAACAACCAAGCGGCGCACGAGAGCTATCTGGAATCGGAAACATCGCAATTCACATTTTTACCGGGAATTTTTGGTTGTTAGAAAAGCAGTATTTGGTTATGACTTGTATCTCTGAAAACCAGTGGGTTTAGGTTCAGCCAGACACTCGGGCTAAAAAATACAAGACGTTTGTCAAAAGTCCCCAAGAGGACCAAGGAAGACACCAGTCAGAACAGTAAAATACGAAGAATGGTACTTCCTAGATAAATGATGATCTCTGGGATAAACTATATCCTGATTAAATACCTGCACTTAGCCTCTAAGTTATGCGACTCCACTAATGGAGCAGGCCTCAGGCGTTGACACCGCAACGTTGATAATTCATTTTGTTTCCTTGAATGAAAAGAGAGAACTCTGAAGTAATGGTTGGCTAAGGGGTGTAAGTCGTGCAAGAATAATAGGATATTAGTGAGCATTTTGTATTCTTTAAACGCCAAGATCACTGTGCACGAAGCAAGTCTACAGGACTATGGATTCAGATTCATGATACGTTCGGTTTGGCTTTCTATTTGGGTTTATGGAAGTGATTGCTGGTCAGGACCAACAACTGAAAATCTGTGAGTTTAAGTATGCATATTGTTCTTGTAGCAAACTGATAATACGCTACCATACAAATTCTGTTCTAGACCTCGATACACCACAACACTTCGTGTCCCCAACAATCAATAAACAGCTCGCAAGGAGAATAATTTCCTAATATGATTGGCGCATTCTTTTGAGAAGTCATGTCACAAGGAAACAGTAAGCACGTGACCAAATGATTTGGTTCTCATTACTGGAGGATGAGTACTGCTGTCCTGTCTAAGTGGGAGCCAATCACACTGCTAATCAGTCGCTCGTGTTCAAACGGTCAAGCGTTCTATTACTGCTCAAAAAGCGCAGGTCCATAAGCAAATTTCGTGGGATACGCAGAGCTGATTATTCCCAATAAGGATGAAGGAGTTATGCAGTGCTTCTCGATATTTTAGCATAGACTGGCTTCACCGACAAGACAGAACCTCTGTCGAAAACAGAAGAATAAGTCTTTTTTTACAATACTGAATTTCTTTTCAGAGAGGATGGCAGATACTAGATCGTTATCCATATAAAATATTTCCAAGGTGTAGTTACAGTTGTAATTAACACAATCGCCAACCACAGGCAGCAGTGTCTTCGCAACGTTTCTGCTACCCCCATCCCGTCCGGAGGCAAGAATATTGCCCTTGTACTTTCCATTTTTTGTAGCTGTGTGCACCACTTTAAAAGCCCATCAAAGCCTTTTACTTCATCCCATACCACGTCAATACTTAATTGAATCCGCGAAAATGTGAGCCAAAAATTAGGCTAAGCTTACTTTTTATTGCTTCTTGAATGTTTTGTACGATGTGCAAGTTTGTTTTGTCACGTGGTTGAAATAGTCTTGTTATTCAATTTCGTCCCTACGGAAGTTCACTTGTTCTGAATATGCTCCTAAAAATCTGAACGAATTTCTGGAGAAACGAACAGCCTATACTGGGTAAATTTTTAAAGGAAATGATCTGAATCCTTATTTTATGGCCTGCTTTATTGTTGTCCGCCAATTTCCTAAACTGAAGGTCACAGTTTGCTCAAAAAACATACCTCCTAGCTTTGATTTCCTCTCTGGGGGGATGGAGACCTACAACAAACTCAATAAGAGCGTTTTTGACTTTTGGCAGTCAATGAACAAGAATAAGGTTGCCTGGGCACCTTTTGAATTCCAAGCTAACCATGGCTAGCTTGTATTATAAAAGTTCCTCATTAAAACGCTTTCATCCAAAAAAGTGGTATGTTGTTGATTTACTATCTTGTTTGAAAGAAGAAAATACCTGCACAGTCATCATAAATGCAAGTTGATCTTCTTTGTGAATTAGCCTTTGCCAAGTAACAATCAATAGTACGTTCAGAGTTACACAAGTAATGAACGATGGTTCAAATTTACTAGCTGATTTAAATGTGGCTGACATCCTCAACATCACAGAGAACGAAATCCACCTAATGCCTTGCAGTGCCCCTATTTTGAATAAACTATTCTTTTAATTTCGTGCATTATCCAACCGAAGCCTCTCTATCATGAAAGGCAAACCTCAGATGGCGCTAAGAAATTGTAAGATTGGACGATGTGATTACTAGAATAAAATTCCGGAAAGAACAATTGCTTCTTACAGCTACATGCAACTTACTGTAATCAGCCTGCAGTTCGGTTTGAGATACAGCAGTGTATGCGGATGAAGAGTATCTTGAAGCCTAGGGAGAGTTTTGGAGAATGGAGTTTTCCAAAGGATTGGAGGTTTATTCGCCTAGGATAGGTGGCATCCTAAGTCAGAGGTATAAATCATGCGCAGTGTTAGCTACTAGCATCGTAAGACCAAGCCTATTGGTAACATCTATTGTTCTGAGAATTGTGTTTTGCGTTGAATTTAACCTCGGAAAATTTATTCATCACCTCCAACTAAGTACGCGTTTTGAAGTTTTGTGTCGTTTCGTCTCTTGACATTCCAACAGCTCCCACACCTTCGAGCTCGCTTTCTGATTCCAGTGTTCGTCGGTTTTTTCTGACGCAGATTAGAAATTTGCGAGAAGTGCGCTTACCCTA